CCAGTGCTGTTACTGTTTGTGAGCATTTGTTTTTATTTTTCTCTAGAGATTTTTTTGAGGGGCTTAAGTCATTGATTAAATAATCAAAATACTTCAGAGGGAGATTTAATATTTCCTTCTTTTATAAAGAGCAGAATGATTCAATATCTGCACTGGAACAGCATTAGGTGGGTAATATTCCCTGTGCTGGAGGTCTTTTAGCTCAGTCAGAAGGATGACTTCCCTTCCCCCCTTTCTCAGCTTCAAGAAACTGGATGAGGGAAAGGTGAGGAATCTTTCCATATGCATAAGCAAAGCCTCTGCAAATCAGCAGTGGCTGCACCACAGCCCCAGGGTGATCACTGAGCCACACTGGGCTGCTTTCAGTGAGAGCAGTGAAAAATAGGTCCAGGGCTCTGGAGCAATGGAAGAGTACATGTAGGGTACCAAAAACCTCCAGCAGTTGCCAGAGGCAGGCTGCTGTTGAACCTTGTAGCAAACAGTTATAAGATCCTTATCGTTCAAGCCTCCTCTGAGGTCAAAAATATTTTCCTTATCTCAAAACAGCTGCTGCTGAGGTGTGTGGGAGTTGAAGGTGTCACGTTGACATCAGCACTAACTCTCCTCCCACCCCTTCCAGATACTTGGCATGATGAACATGAAAGCCATTTCCATCTCCGAGCCCCTTCCAGCAATGGCAGCTCTGCACCACCCTACGCTCTCCCTGGCGCAGGCGAAGAGCAGCAGCAATGGCTGATGTCAGACAGGACACGCTGCTCCTCTCCTGCCCATTTCCTTGGGGTGCATCTGGGCAAGGACAAAGGGGTTCACGTGCTCTATGTACACACAGTCAACCTTGGAGGAAGAAGAGGCTTGAAGATGGCATGTCCAAGAACTACCTCTTCCCCTTCCCCACCAGGAACACCACGGCAGCAACAGCTAAGTGGTGCTTCTTTGTTCCCTCTCACCCACCACCCCATTTGTTTTCATTTAATAAAGATGTTTCTCATAATAACTTTCTCAATATTAAATATTAATATTAATATTAAATTCAATATTAAATTCCTCCTCCCTCTCCCAATCTCAATTAACACAACTTTTTAAATGTGAATTTGGCCTTTTCTTCCCCTTGTGGACAGCATTAATTTCTGAGCTCTGGTTTGGCTTCTCTTGATTGTGGGGCTCACTCTGTTCCACACAGAAACAGAAAATGTAATAAAACATCTCCTCCCAAACTGACAGTTATTTCCAGTGAGGATTTCAGAGACATCAGATCCAGCCCACAAGATGCCTCTGAATATATCAGCTTGGAGAAAAGGGGGACACATTCCTCTGAAACCTTAATATAAATTAAATGAGACAAAATACATTCAGTAGCCAGATAATAGCACTGAAAAACTGACAGATGGCAGAACACTGAGGTTTAGTGGTGGCACTCACACGTTACATGAATAATTCACTTGGACAAATGTATGGATGTGAGAGCATGTTTAGGTTAAGGATCTGGCTCAAAGGAAAATGAAGATAGATAAGCAGAGTTTCTTCTTCACAATGATCCATTTCAAACCAACAGCCTGGAGAGCCATCCCCTCCAAAATCAGTCCATGCTAGAAACTAATCAAGCCAAAGCCCATAACAGGGAGAAGAGCTCATCAGTTGAGAATTCAATGGGCCTTGTGAGATACCCTTACAGCCACCGCTCCCAGACACGTTCAGGGGCTTGAAGAAAACACAGTTAAAAAAATAATTGCATGAATAGCAGAAAAGACCCCAGACATCACAGGTCCAGCAAGAGTCAGGCCAGATGTGGTACCATCTCACCTATCCAACAGAAGACAGGTCATGCTGCCCTGAGCAGCTGGGGATGGGTAACAAAGCTGAGCAACTCCAGCGATTTGGGAAACAGAGAAAGCAAAGGGCTGTTCTGGTTTTGTTTAAAAAAAAAAAAACCAAAAGCAAACCCCACACACTGTTACCTTTAACTGAGCATTAGAGGTGGGGACACAACATCCCTAACCGTCAGTAAGAGAGCACAAACTGTATTTAAATCCATATCACAAAAGCATTCAGAAAATAAAAAGCCATTTAGCAGGTGGCTAGGTGCTGAGAGGAACTGCCTTGTTTTCATCACACTGTAAGCTGGAAGTACTCCCAAAATGCAACAGTCAGCACTATCAATGCTCTTAAACTCCCTGGCTCAAATGGAGTATGGACAATGTCCCAGTACTGCATTAATTGAGGAGCAGCCCCAGATCCTGGCAGAGGTGCTGGCAATTACGTGGCCTGTCTGAAAGCAATTGATTTTATAAAGCAGTTTGATCTTGCCAGAGGTGAGAAATTTCTATTTCCCAACCTGCCCCTTTCCCTAGGGAAGTTCTGCAGTGCAGGCTCCTCTGCAGGACTGTGCTGCATTTCTAAGCAGGAAAATGACACAGTTACAGGGACCTGAAGTCATTCCCCACCACAGAGAGAAAGATCAGTCTTGATTTTATCAGAGAGAAAGGAAATGGGACTAGAGGAAGGGACTATACAGGAATGTCCAACTATGCATTTTGCCTCTCACTACATCGTCTGTCTGTCATTGCAGCCTCTTCTTTGCCCTTAAATAACATTTACACACACGAGGAGCCAGGTCTTTTCCATTAAGGGTTCAAACTACAAGCAAAGCCCAACACTTGCTTGTTTAATGGCCTGTCAGGTTTATAACTCGTTGCTGTCTTGACTAGCAGTGGCAGGAAGTCTTGCAAACATGTTTGAAGTTACCCCCCAACCAGCACTGTGATAAGATGTTACCAGGGTGACTCTGTGTCCTCACGGAGCAGAGAGGACTTTGAGATGACACGTATTTTGACAAGGACACAAAACATCTGGAAAGAATGTCCCTACTGTGCAAATTAAAGCCTATTGATATCAACAGGCATAAGATTAAAACTACTTGATCCTCATCTGATTAAGTGTGAACTTCAGATTTGAATAAACCCAGAAAACAAGTAAAAGTTTCAAAATTCTAGCTACAGACATTTTTAGGACTCAAAGGCGAGCTTTTAATGGGTACAGACAGAACCATTAGTTTCTCTTGTGAGCTGGCCACAGGTCAGACACAGGCCGGCATTCAAGTACCGACATTCAAGAATGTTGAGACTCAGGTCCATGTATCCACCATACAAAAATTGATCTATTTTGGCTAAAACTCCTAAAACTTAAATATCTTACTTTGAGGCAAAGCACAGTAAATCTGCCCGGTACAGTTATAAAGTATGGCACAGCTACATGCCACAGTGTTTTAGGCTGATCTCAAAGCCCTGGTAGTTAAAAAAACAAATTAAGACTTGATCCCTACAGGTACTGCAGCTTTCACTAGGAATTCTTGACTCATCTAAGTCATACATGTACTGCAGAATGGGAACAAATTTCCTGTGTCCAGGTGACACTGGCCTGCTCCCATTACCAGCACAGAGTTATTTCAAGGGCCATCTATTTTTCAGAACAAAAGAACCTCCACAGAAATGCAGACTTCAGTGGTCTTAGAAGCTTTCAAGCATGGAAAGAAAAAAAATAAAATAAGATAAAAAAACCCCACAAAACTCAGAACAAATTACTTTGCTCTGAGGATGGCAATCCTGTATGGTAACGATCAGAGGCTCAGGTCAAGTTTCTTTTGTGGTAGTTAGGAATTAAGGCTGATTTCCCCAAAGGATGAAATAAGTGGAGTTAAAAATGGAAAACGAAATGGCTAGAAAAGGAATGGAAGATGATAACCAAGAATTGTCAGGGATCTTAGCACTGCATGGCCTATCCACAGTTGTGCTATTTGCAGACAGAGACTGCAGTGAGTGGAACTGCTTAGTTATTCATCCCCCCTGCAGACAATCACACAGTGAAAGTGGCATTAATGAGACACCCTTTAACTAAGGAGGGTGCAGGGTGAAAGACCAACAAATACAGTACATAAATATGTTAATGTATTTATCCAAGTGATTTTTTTTTTCCTGTAGCCTGTACATGGCTGCAAAAATGATTCAGTTCATTTTATGCAAGAAAAGTGCATTCATCTTCCTTAATTAGGGAGAAAGTAGGACTGGTACTAGGCTTAAAAATAAAAGTATGGTTAATTTTGAAGTGCTGTGTGCCCCATTCTGGTGAAATCTGATAAAATACTTCCTCCAACACTGCTTCTGACTCATGGGAATATTTGTGAACTACATGACTGGAAATTCAATGGAACAGCTTGTACTAATTTCTTGGTCTGCCCAAGAACAATCTGCAGACATAAGTAAGCACACAAACAGAAGCCTACATATTAGTGTTCTCCTTAAAATATCCCTGGAATTCCCTTCAACTCAACATCAGACAATCCTTCAAAGTTCTAGAACAATGGAGCACAAATGGGCCTCCTCAGAGAGTCAAAAGAATGAGATGAAACATGCTGTATGAAAATCAAGCATGTTCTTTTTACTTACTGGGTTTTTTAAAGGTTCTTACCTGCAGTTAACATCTGTCACGCTTATCTCAGCGTTAGTTATCTTACATTGCTCATCTTTCATCTGCTACCTTTTCCCTTCATTTGTTCTCCGAGGAGAAATAAGAAATGAAAAGATTGAGCAATGCTCTAACATTGCCAAGCTCCTCTGTAATGACAGAAGTGCTGTCTGCAGTGGTGATAAATCCCAATACGGTACCCATGCAAAACACTGCAAATCTGAGTTTCCCAAAAGCCTGATCCCAGGTGTGACTCTTCATGCATTGCTGCTAATCAGTGCTAGGATGTTTGTAATTCCCTTACAGACAGAAATCCACACCAGACAGTGCTGTCTGTATCACAGTCTGGAAAACTGGCACACTTGGAAGTTTGTAAACCATGTGATGTGAACGACCTGAATCTTTTGTGTCTGTAATTTTTGTTCCGACAAGCATAAGTTGACAGATCGTCCTGCGAGTGTTGGGAATAACAGCTTCTGTTTCTTATCTGTGTTTTGATAAGACAAGATGTCTGAGAAACACCCCTTTTCTGTGCTACTCACTGCATGCTGCTTCTGACTCGTCTGACCCGTCCGAACACTCTTCTTCACCATCACACTTCCACCTGGCTGGGATGCAGTGGCCGTTGTCACAGGTGAAATCTGACTCAGCACAAGTTTTCTTTGCTGCAACAGAAGAAAAAAGTACTTGGCATGAATACAAGCAATGCAGAAGATCCACTAAGGATGACACTGATTGCCCTGCATTGAGAGGATTCACTTCACATTCAACATTGCTTCTTTGTGACAGAGTCAAACATATCACAGATGGGTGTTCCTTCTCACTAGAACTCTTATCCCTCCATTAGTTAACAAGGAGTCACCCTTCTATGTCTTTTTCCAGCCACTCAAAACCTGGCAATGTTCTTTTTCAAAATAATTTTTTAAGGCTTTTACTATAAAAAGCTGCTGCCTTCATGGAACTGAAAAAATGATCATGATTTATGGACAGGCAAGACAAACAAGCCTCACCTTTGGAGTGCTATAATCTAAATAATAATGTGTCTATCTATGCAATCTGAACATGGCTTTTTAGTACCTCTGTCACTGTAGTAATGGTCATAAAGCACTCCCTCAAATACTAAAATTCATTTCATTAAATGCCAACCACTCCACGCTCTTTGCTTTGCTTGCATTAATCTTGGGCTTGAAAAAGAGACAAGACATGAACTAAAGCAATTAATTGGTCTGTTCCTCAGTGCCAGTGGCACAGCCCCACCAGTGCTCTGCAATACTAGTCAGCATCTTGCCATTGCAGCAGAAAGAGAGAATTCTACATATACTTGGCTGCTTCAGTCCGCAGACTCAGTGTCCGTGTGACCACCAGTCACTCAGCTTGGCTGGACTGGGTGACTTCAGTGGCTTCTCTGCCATGAACTGGAGTGAACAGCCGTGCCATGAGAGTCCTGCAAGGGCTCAGGCTCAGTGCTACCACCCTGGAAGTGAAATGCTCTCTGGATAACTGGTATCTACCTTCATTAGTATCAACTGACACAGGAAGGGGTGGTGGGGAGATTTGTTTCTGCCCCCTGCAAAGCTGCTCACAGCATAATAGGATCACAGGAAAATTCGGGTAGTGAAAGACCTCAGGAGGTCACCACGTCCAACCTCCTGCTCAAGACAGGCTCAGCTCTGAGGTCAGACCAGGCTGCTCTGTTTTATCCAGTCTGGTCTGGAACACCCAAGATGGAGACAGCACAACCTCCCTGGACAATCTGTTCCGAGCCTTAGCTACCCTCACAGTGGGACTTGAGCTCGACAGCCATTCCCCCACCCAAGTCATGCGCACACACCATTGAAAAATCAATGTTCATTCCAGCAAACATTTTCAAAGCATTACACACAACAAATAAGCCCCCGGGGTTTGATCTTTTATTTTCCTTTCTTGTTTTCTTACATGAGCCGCTGTCAGGAACGGAGCCACGTTAAATATCCCTCATGTGCCCACACAGGAAACAAGGAGCTCTGTGAGCTACTGAGAGATCTACAGGGCTGAAATCAAGTACTCATTTTCTAGCACACAAAACGTGGCTTCCCTGAGCAGGCATCCAGCAGGAAAACATTGCAAAGCATCACTAAGCAGCTGTACAATCTCTGAGGATCCAGTTTATAAAGAGAACATACATTTACTCCCCTTCTGTTGCTAAATGAGCCAGATTCTAGTGAGGGAGAGGAAAAAGACAATTTTCAATTTTCTCTTCAGTCATTCAGAAACAGATATTATGAACTAATAGAGGATAAAAACCAATCTCATATAAACCAAGAGTTTTAAAAGAGACCAGTCATACTAAGAATCCAAAGACATTGTACATCTGTTATCAGAGTGAAAAGACTTTCTCCTGAACATCTCCTCTTAAAAATCCCAAACTTGTGAAACTGGCTATTGCACATCACTTCTGATGTAGTTAATACAAGTGTTAATGAACCTGACGTATTAATGGCCAGAAAGGCTGACCAATTCTGACAGGATTCACAAGCATAATGAAGTCACAGCACTCTCCTGCTCGCTGTGAAGTTGACTGGGTAAAATGTTGGTATCTGCTCTTAGGGGAAGGTTGTGGCATCTACAAATGAAACAATCACAGCCTTATCCACAAAGTAGAGATCAGTGTAATACTGGAGACATTAGAAGCTTAAATTTTAGAATGTATTAATTTTATGCTAGTTCTCCTAATGTCCTAGTGTCTTGTTTTCCATAAGAAAACTGCACTTGTTCTCTAGAGATATGAACAGCAACAAAACTACTATTTCACCCCCAAATAAACCTCTCCTTTTGCCATCAGTCCCACACTCGATATATTTCCAGGACACAGGGTCAGCCCCAGAGAGGTGTGTGAGAGGCCAATGCTGTCAGCGTGGCTCCCAGCAGATGGAGGCCCCGATTGCTTTGTTCCCTGACACTGCTCCCCCACAGCACCACCAGTAGGTTGCCTGGACTCACAAAAGGGGAGCAAAGCATTACTGACAGTCCCAGGGTGTCCCTTGGAGGTGTTGCTGTGCTCCCCCAGTGCAGCTCCCCTTTGCAGAACGAAGCTGGGCACAACCACTCACCAGCAGTGGCTGAACCAAATGTGCCATTGTGTCCCCACACCCACCCAAAGGTCCAACAGTCCTGTGACACATGGATCAGCATGTGTTTGGTCCTTTGTTTGAACCTAAGCTATTTAATCTCTTAAAGGAGCAGAACTAAGAAAGGGGGAGCTCAAACCTTCCAACGATTATATTTATTTGTATGATACTTTTTAAAATTTTGTGCTTTTTATTATTTATATTTTCAATACTATCTTTGATGTGTTATTATTTTTTACTACTATAACTCTCCAACATTGCATCACAGCTCTGGAAGACAGTCTCAACTCCAGTAAGATCCTCTTTCTGCTGCAAACAACAACCCAGATTATTCAAACTGTGAGAATACTGAAGCACTGTCTCATTTCTCACCTCTAATACAAGACTGGAATCACTTTATTTCCAACCAGATTCACCTTCTGGCACTCAATCGTCATGTCCCTGGGATCACAAGGCAGGCAGGGAGCAGTTAATTAAAATATCAGCTCTCTGTCTTTCCCTTCCTTCTTCTTTTTGAAGTCTGATTTCTATTAATCTCCCATGTTATACACCTTTCTCCCATCAATAATTCACTGAGGCTTACACCGTGAATTGTCAGTGGCGAATTAAAATGTAAAATAAATAAATACATCCCTTTTAGACAATGGGAGGACACAAGTCCATTCTGTGGTTTCACCTGGCTCACAAATAATCAAGCAAAATTAACTGTTCCCCTGAGATCCATTTCCTTTGCCGTCAGCAGCCCAGGCAGCTCTGCTCACATGTCCCTTCCAAATGAACATAAACAAACAAGAGTGAGCAGTCACAGCATCCCTGTGCCTCGGCTCCTCGGGGGGCAAACTGATACCTGGAACAAGAAAAGAGAAGGATACCCAGCGGAGGCAGAGCCTTTCATCTCCCCCCCTGCTCGGATGCACAGTGACACCACAGGGATGGCCTTGCTTATGACTCTTGCCTCATTTGCCTTTAGTCCCTGCTTTTGCTTTCTCAATCTGCAGCTGGACAGACCTGTCAGACACTCCACCAGCACCTGTGTGACCGTGGGACTCGGCTCCCCTAGGGAAAAGCCCTGGCTTGGGCAGCTCTCCAAAGCAAGCCTTAGTTACAGGCAGTCATTCCTGCTTCTCTTCTCCCACAAAGGCAGGCAAGCAGGGAGGGACAGAAGGTTTCAACTTTCTGCAGAAATGACAGAAAAATACCCTCAAACATGTTGAATTTTAAACAAAACTGCATCAAAACCAAATGGTCTCTCATTTTGAAAAGCATTCTTTTTCATTCCACTGCTCACATCTCTTATCCTGCACTGCAAGTCAGGATTCAGGGGTCATCCCTGCAGCAAATTGGAAGCAGAGAACCCAGGGAGAGTGTGTTAGAATATGAACATTTATAGAGGGAATTCATAAAAAAGCAATCACTGGGGACATGTATAATTAGATTGGAGGAAATAAATATACACGGAAAGGAGCAAGCCTTGTACTGGTTAGGAACAGGGACAGGATGATATAAATGTGACTTCTGACTTCCAAAAATACCTCCTTCTGAAAGGCCAAATCCCTGACCCTAAGCCAAACAGGTACCTGAATCTAATGGAAAGGCCCAGGATTTATTCTTTCTTCCTCTTCCTAATAAAGCCCAACCTCCTCCCACTGCCCTCAGCCACCTCATTTAACCTCACTTAACTTCTGCCTCAGTTCTAGAAGCTTTACAGGGCAGGTAAATCTTTTCAGTAACTCTGTATAAGACACCAGGCCCCCTGTGATCCAACTTCCAATTCATGCCTCGTTTATTCCTATTTTGCACATCTGTACCACTAAGCAATTTCCAACTGCACAATAGTTTCGTTTCTTACTACTCCCGATTTCCCCAAGCCAACAGCTGAAAAGCACAAAGAACATATTTCCTCTCTCATCATTAACAGTTCTATGCAGTTGTTCAGCAGCAGCAATAATGTAAAAGCACATACAAAAGCACAATGTCTTATTACAATTTGCCTATAAAGGACATTTAAATATTTTTTTTTTCCCATCAGGGAATTAACCCCTACATTGTAACAACAGACTCTAAACACAGGATTTTTAGATTAAGGGTTTTGTTCAAACTCTGGGTTGTGTATCCAGACAGAAAACCAGGCTAATGAGAGCGTTCGAGTGTTAACTCAAAAAGACCCTGAAAACTGTGCTCTCTCCCCGTTATCTCCCTTCACTAACTGCTGGACAATTTCTACCACTTCTAAAAGAGGGGAAAGATGTGGAAAATAAGTCTACTCCTACGAGTTTCAACAGAAAACAATCAAAATCACAGCTCCAGAGAGGGAGATGAGGGGAGGAAGTGGCCACAGTGCTGCCCGTCAGCCCAGATTCTGCACCTTATCCCAAGCTGGTTTTACCGCAGAGGGAAGGTGGCTATCAGGGATTTAAAAATCCCAGACTCCAAACCTATTGAAAAATCTGGTTTGATTTGTTCCACTACCCTCATTCCTTTACACAGATCCTGCTCCTATTTTAACTTCTCAATCAGCACCAGACACCCCATCAAACTGTGTATCTGCTCTCATTTGC